GGGGGGCGAATTAACGATGCTTTCGAAATGAAACTTGCCAACGGGTTTGGGCCATGAGATAAAAGGGAACGCGAAATTGGTTAAACAATCTCGTGATGATGTTTCACAATTCGCGCTCTCTGATTTCCAAATAACAATGTTGCCCATTCATCACTGTCGTTGACGAGGCGTTTTCTCTGCGCTCGACGTTGATCGAGTGCCTGCCGGATGTACTGGTTCTCATTTGTTGCCACCTCCAGTTACCACGTTTCCTGATGCAATTTCGAACACGACAGTCGGATAATGGTTGTCTCATACAATGTGAATGTTTCTAGAACTGAATGTAGACCATGCCTTTTTTTATCAATAAATGCATGAGCCAAATGTTTCAACTAAATTCTGACACTATGTCTAACTTCCATAGCAATAGAACGCGACGAACCAAGCACAGCTTTGTGAAGTCAAGTTCCATTCAGTCGTTCACCACAGATCGTGTAGCTTAGAGGTAATACTTTCAACTCCGAATTCGATTGGTTGCGGTTGGAGGCCGGTCGAAAAATGAAAGTAAACACTACGAGATAGTTTTGGCCTGAAGAAAGCCTTGGGCTAGTGCTGTTCTCCGGTTCTCAGCAAATATTCGATTAAGTAGGTAAGAACTAACAAACTTAAAATACATGGAACACAAACAATACCATAAATATTGTCCGGTGTCTCTACAGATCGAATGGGAGAACGCAATCATATATTCTAGGTGAAGTTACATTTTGTAATCCAAGCTGGTAAGACTGATATTATTTAAATTAGGCGTCATTCGTTCAATAGATACAAAGTTATTTGGTACAAATAGTTGTTTGGCAGATTGAAGCTTTTATGTTGGAATTGTGAAAAGTTCTGTAGCCTCGGTGGCATCCGACCCCATGCATGGAAGCCGCCTACGCTTTTGTACAGCGCATGCTCTACCGGCTGAGCTACGAGACCACAACGATAGCACTGATCTTTTCACATTCAAATTATCTATTCAACTTACAAAGGCATATGACATCCACTAGTTGGCATGTTTTCTGATTAACAAATAGGAATATGGAGAAAACCATGCATTCTACTGTTTTGTTTAAAAACAACTTTGTTTCATACCGCTGTCGTGCTATTCTCCTATTCGCTTAACTGTTTTTTTGTTTGTAATTTAGGAAAACCACTGCACTGTTGGGTGCCACAGGAATTTACCAGTTCTTGGGAAGATTATGCAGAAAATCTGTGCTGGGTACAGAATACGTATTTTCTTCTCCCCAACGAGGCCATACCGGAAGAGGAATTTGAAATGCTCAAGGTGAGACATATATCCTACTACCAGTGGGTCGCTATTGTGCTCGCTGGTCAAGCCATGATGTCCTGGATTCCACACTTATTCTGGCGCGTCTGGTCCAAACGCATTCCCGTGTTGCTTCGAAACGCGCGTGAAGCGGCGGTCCCCGATAAAGAAACACGGCACAAGGCAATCAGTTGTCTGGTGGCCGCACTGGAAGAGTTATCGGAAGCATCAAAACGTTTCCGTCGCACGCGTGGGGTGTTCAAACGATGCCTGCGCGGAGCACCACCAACCACTCACATCACATTGCTGTTCCTCATGGTTCGATTGGCATTCATTGCAAACAATATCGGTCAGATCTATATTATGCGTAGGTTCATCGGTACAAACGATACTCTGTTCGGACTTCACGTCTTTCAAGAACTATTGACAGGCAGTCAGTGGGAAGTGTCCGGATTGTTCCCCCGAGTGACCTATTGTGATGTGAAAGTTCGAAAACTCGGACAACTCAAACCGGCCTCGTAAGTCCAGTTGGAGAGTGTGCATCTGGGTAGCCTGAATACAGTTCATCAAGAAAAAACAATAAACAGTTTGTCCCAGTTTCCTTTTACCTTAATTGTTGTTAATTGGTGTTGACTCAATTGTTTGGGGGTTTACTGAATTCAGGAGAAACGTCAATGCTTTCTCGTTAATTTAGATTCGTTGAAAGTTAAAATTTTATCAAAAGATCGCCGTTGGACTAACACTGTGATAAAAGTGACTTGTACACTTTGGACACAAAGCAGTTTGATTAAAAAAAGAATAATTGAATCCGTATAGAGAACCACCAGAAAACCGTTTAAACAGCTATTTTTTCACTCCGCTCTCTCTGCTTAACAGTTTTACGTAAAACGCAAATAAGAATCACATGAATAAAGCACTTTGATGATTTCTAATGCGATGGAAAATGTTGTGATAACCAACAAAGAGCACTGGATAGCTGTTTCGTCCTGTTTCTGACTCATCAGCAGTGCGCACCTTTTGTGTACCTGTTAGGACACGAACCGTGATTCTTCGGGCTGGGCCTTCAAACCCTTCAAACCGTTGAGCTACACAGTCAAAAGATATCACCTTGATGATATTTCACAGGAAATCCTTCACTAAGAATGCTAGCTTTTATTGGGCTGATTTTATTCCTAAACATTTTCATTTTGAACTTTACTCATGCAATTTATTATTACATATTTTCACACGTCTGACTTCAGACTGTGACAAACAAATCATGGTACAATAACCTTTATAAAAAAAGGTTTCATGAATTGAATGTTGGTTGAATTCCGCCAGGTTACCGAGGCCAGGGCAGGTGAATTTTCTTGAGGAATCAACAACCGGAGCCTTCGGCTAGCCAAAGCCTGACCCGCAAGGCAGTGGGCCGGTGTGCGAAAACCGCAAACCATTGGGGGTCGGTGTTCAGTTCATCGGATCATTTGCCCTTCGGACGGAGTCAAACATCCAAGGTGCCCAATAAACCCCGATGCCCAGTTGTGACGGTGACACCGATATATTCGAAAAAGTGTGGGTGTGGTTCGTAGGCCTCCTCTTGGTTTGTTTGGAATCAGGGTTTTTGGCCAACTCTCCGAGATGAACTACCAGTGGTCCACCAACCTGGTTATAGCCCCGGATGTCGGCTTTCCGTCTTCTTGTTTTGTTAGGAAAACACCTCCGCCACGAGAAGACAGTAAGCAGGGATTCCTCGGCAGAGGCGTTTTGAGACGCTTGGTCGTATGGGAGCATTTCGCGAGGTGCAAAGGAAGGGTGGCCAGCCGCAACCCTAAATACGGATCCCCGACGATGCTGAAGCTTTCGCAGGGGCTGACACAATTTACGAATAGTGTTATACAGTTCATCCTTGTGGCAATAGTGTTCAAACGTTTATACTGAATTTCACAAGGCATACGGGATAGTGTGAGGTTAGAATACCAGTAACCTAATTTATGTTTAATGATATCTCACTCAGCAAGTGTTTTGTTTAACTCCATCAATCTATATATGCCCTTTGGCTCTTAGATTCTGATGTCTAAATGTGTTCCTACTATTACAAATGAACCCTTTCTGAAATCCCGTTTTGACGAGCACTATAAGAATAGCTTTTTTTAAAACTGCACTGCAACGATCACTGCGACAGATTCTCATGGCGAATCAATGGCAGCATGATTAAATCCATCTGCGGATCTTTTATTTTTGATCACCATCGTTGTTGTTTTCATTTCGTAACCACCTGCGCATTCCAAACCAAGTTACATTGAGTGTGAACTGTTCATCTCCCATGAAATGACGGGCATTTGAACACTACATCCCTGTGTTTTCTTTTCACAAACGAATAACTGAGTGACTGACTGATCGAGTGGTCCGAATTTTGGTGAATGTGCATCGAACGGGGGATGGGGGTGGCGGGGGGGGGG